CACTTAATGCCCCTCCACATGCTCTGTGGGTCTTGTGAGGTGAATTGACGCTTGATCTTTTGTGCATATGTGGCCTTGGCCCTCTTAATACCAGCAACCATCTCTTTCCTTGTCCTACTCAGCTCCTCTGAGTTTCCAGACCTGAAGGCAGTGTTCCTGGCTTCCAGCAGGGTGTGCACCTTTGCATTCAGCCAAGGTTTTCTTTTCGGGTAACTTTTAACATATCTGATGGTGGAGACGTTGTCAGTACATGTACTACTGTAACCCAGCACTGAGGATGCGTATTGATCCAGATCAAGCGATCTTCCATTTTCAGCAGCTTCTCTGAAAATCTGCCAGTCTGTTCGTTCAAAACAATCTCTCAGTATCGGGCCATTGTCCTGGATCCAACATTTAACTTTTGTACCGGTTGGGAGCGTCTCAGCGGGGGAAGCTAAGCAGGGGCCAAGAAGATTGAGATGTGATCAGCGAATCCTAGGTGGGAGTGGGGTTCGTCTTTGTATGCATCTTTTACGTTAGTGTAAACACGGTCCAGCGTGTTATTTCCACATGTTGATATGCCCACATGCTGTTAAAAACTTGGGAGGTAGTCCTTTAGATTTACATGATTAAAGTCTCTGGCTACCACGTAAAGAGCCTCAGGGTGTTTGTTCTGCAGCGAGTTGATGATATCATGTAGCTCCTGCAGGGCGTCATTAGCATTAGCATCTGGAAGAATAAAGAGAACCATAATGAAAGTCACTGTGAACTTGGGGGATAGATAATGTGGCTGACATTTCACTGTTATTGTCATGCCCCCCATCAGCCCCTGTCTCACACTCACAGCCCCAGCATGTCATGTTTTCTGCTCCTCTTTGTCATGCTGTTTTTCTTCTCTGCCATTAGCCACACCTCCCTCTGCACTTTCAGCTCATCAGCCCTGATTCACAGCACCTGTTCTTTGCCTTATTTAAAGAGTTCCACTTTCACTTGTCCTTTGCCAAATTATTACACCACTCATGGTCACTGATAATGAAGCCTTCATCGCAGTATCTTGTTCCATAGTTTTGTATCCTTGCCTTGTCTTGCATTGACTCCTTGCCTTGCCTGAACCCTCTTGGATTTTGTCTGCCTATCTGCCCATGGTTTCTGACTCTGTGCCTTTGTGCCTTCCCCTTTTGACCACGTCTTTTGGATCACGACTCGGCATTTCACTAAAACAACGTCCCAGCCTGGGGCCGGCTTGCGGTCGCTGTCGGGTGGGTGGGGCGCATGGATGGCCAGACAGACAGAGACTCCGTCGGGCTGTCTCTGTGTGCCTGTTTATGTCTCAGGTTGGGTTTTAGGTGGTCCCCTCTCTTGGATCAGTTTGGCCCCCCCATTTGGTGTGTCGTGCTCCCCTCCGGTGGTGGGGCCCCCCTGCAACCGGTGCATTGGCGACTCTCACCAGCTGGAGCTGAGTGGTGGGGTGTGTGCGGGCCTGCCCTGGTGGCTGCCTGCCGGGGCCTGGGTGCCCTGGCTCTGTCGGGCCCTCTGTTGGGGGGTGGTATAACCTCGGGACTCGGGGTCCATGGCCGGATCTACTCTGGAGGGGCGGGTTGCCGGTGGGGCCTGTGGACTCGTTGCCGCAGCCTCCTGGGGTTTCTGCATTGTGGTTGCTGGGGATCGCCCGGGGCTTCCCTTTGCTTCTCTCTGGGGGGTGTGGGTGTCCCTGTTGGGGGACTCCCGGAGTTCAGGGCTTGGGGACTGATGTGTGTCTGTGGTTCTGTTCTTCCCTGTGTTACTACCATTGTGTCCTGTGGGGACCGGTCTGTGGGTCCCCACATCCACTATTGAACATTTTTATGGAGAAACCTTATAGTGACATCATGCTCACACAGGTGTTTAGATCCAGGTGTTTATCAGATACACACTCAGTTGGGTTGTGGTGGCCACTAAATATATCTTGTATTACCATGTACTGTATAAAATACTTTCTAATGATGTTATAAGCATCATTATATATGTTGTTTGCTGTTGTGCTTTATCGGTTTTGTTTTGTTTTTGTTTGTTTTTTCCCGCAGGTCTAGAGTCAGACTTCAATGATGTTGATTTGTGTTCTCTTTATATATCTCTCTCCTCTATTCCCATCTCCTTCTTTACCTTTTAACCCTTCTCTCACTTTTCTGCTTTATCTTCTTTGTTTTTCATCCCCATGCCCATTACATCTGAAACAAACCCAAAGCAAATTCTAATAAAATTTAATTTATATATCAAGTGGAGCATTAAGGCCAGCCATAATGCTCTGCTTGTGATAGTAAATCTGTCGGGCATCACTTTGACACAGACAATAATTCTAAGTGGTGGCGGTCTCTAACCTCTGCGCCACCACTCTGGGGGGAGTGGTGGCGCAGAGGTTAGAGAGGTGGGCTTGTGAGCCGAAGATCGCCGGTTCACGCCCCGGCCCCGACAACATCAAAATTGTGGGTGGGGTAGGTGAAACACCCACACTTGCCCCCACCCTCATTCGCCCCACTCTGGGCCCATGAGCAAGGCCCTTAACCCCCACCATGTGCTCCCTAAACAGGTCTCTCTTGAAAATGAGTTCTCGTGGCTCAATGAGACTAACCTGGATAAATAAAGGCTAAATGAAAAAAAAAAAAAAAAGTGTCACAATGCCGGACAGGACAAGGGAAAAACAAACAAACAAAACAAACAAAAAAAAAACTTATAATAATAAAAAAAAAAAAACTAATTTATAAATATATCTTTGGAAAAGATCAAAGTTCCAGAGTTGAACTCCGAACTTGAGTACCGGAAGTACATGTAAAGTGTGGCGATGGAATTTACGCATGCGCATTAGAAGCTTTGAAATCGATTTACATGTGGCTTTTTGAAACGTTGGAAATCGTTGAAATTTTGCATCCCCATTTTGTATAGAGTGCCACCGGCGCACAGTTAGTGGTAACTAGTAAAAAATGTTTAAAAACGAGTTAAAAAAGTAATTTACTGTCAGTTGGGCGTATTGTGTTCACATAAATATTGAAACTTGAAGGCAGATTGAAATGATACTGAAAGTTCCGAGCAGAACTGGAAGGCAGCATCAGAAACAAGTGGGTCTTCTTGGTTTAATTTTATTTTTTAATCTGCTAAACATATAATCTGCGATGGATTCACAGCCTCCACCAAAACCATGGGAAGGCCGGATCCCCGGGGCTCTGAGTCCGTCTTTAAATTACAGGTAAACTATGTTTTGTGAGGTTTTTGTGTGTGTGTGTTGACAGCAGCTCGATTTGTTCAGCTAACGCTAAAGTTAAACCTTTACGTCTTCCACAGCAACGTTTCTAGACTGGTTCCAGTTAAACTGTTTAACTGGGTGGATCGTTTCAGGAGAAGCTCTTAAACACTGTTTAACTGGGTGGATCGTTTCAGGAGAAGCTCTTAAACATTTAAAACATGTTGGCATTAATGCTAACAAGCTAACTAGCCTGGCCGGGCCTGTTCCCAGCTCGAGTCTGAAGATCAATCAACCTTTATTTATACAGGTAAATCCCATTACATACATAGTGAAGATCACACTTCACTGAACATTCTGGCCTGAACCAGAACTTCTTTTCTAGCAGCTCCGTTTAAACATCCGAACCGAGCCGGACTGATCGTGTTGTGTTAAAGTGTAAAATAAAAACAGGACTTTAATTTCACTGATCAGACAAATCGTGTATTTGGACAAACACAAAGTTATTTTTCAAAACAGAAATTCAGAAACTTGTCATAAATCCATGAAAGGTGGTTCTGAAACGGATTTAAATGTTTTCATCTCCTGCTTGCAGGGGATGTTAGGAAACATTTTACATCGCCTTACAACCTGTTTTTGTTACATTTTTAATACTATTTTAATGTGTTCTTAATTTGTATAGCTCTTTTATGATCGTCTGTTGTTGTTGTTGTTGTTGTTGTTGTTGTTGTTGTTGTTGTTGTTG